GGAAAGGGATAGGGAAAGAAGAGAGGAGTGAGAGAGAGAGAGAGGATAAAGACAGAGTAAAAGGAAGAATGAGAGAAGAAATGAGAGAGAGAGAGGGGGGGGGGAGGAAGTAGAGGAAATAGCACGAGCACCTCATCAACACATAGAAAAAGAACACACAAAACAGTCCATCATTCCAAAGTCCTATTTCCCCCGAACGAAAACCCGAGCGGGAAGACCACGAGCCACCTGGCCCTCCCCCGCCCTCGCCCAGGCACAAGAACGCCAAACGCAAGCACCCACTCACTCCCAGGCACACGGCAGGCGCCCGTCAGACACGCGACTGGACGGACGAACAGCCCGCCCCGACGGAAGAACAGTAATAACGAGAACATGTGGGTCGAAGAACTTACTGCTTACTCCTCAACTTTGTGTAAGACGGTTGGACATGCTCCGCCCATCGCGCCCAATCCCGCCCATCCCGCCCGGACGCCACAGCAGCATCACATGCCCACGGCAGTTCTTTTATCGCGCGACTGTTATGGCAGAACACGAATACGGTTAAAAGAGTAAAACTACGCATAAAACACGATGGTGTAGCCCCAGACATAAACATCCGAGTTAAAAGATCGTGGGAAAACACTTAGGATGAAGTACCGGGGATAAAACACCTCTGAGAGGCCATCGAGGATAAAATACCCCGATGAAAAGTAAAATTTAAAATTCATCTTTCGTTAAGGTGTTAAAAAAACACGATGGGTAAAACATAAATCCATTAGGATAAAACAGCACGAACAAAACATCATGGATATGACACCACAGACAAAATACCGTATGCGACACACCATGCTTACCCTCCCCCACCCCCAAAGAAACACCAGGTTAAAACACCAACATAAAAAACCGTGCATAAAACAAATACGAAAACACCGAACCTATACCACCACGGAACAAAACCCCGACTACAAAACCACCCTGGATAAAGAGGATAAGACAAAACCACCGAGAGAGAACGCCCCAGCATCTCAACCCCGCGCCTCCCGAGTGCTCCATTCCCGCCCGTGTTGACTGCTAACACGGATAACAATAAAATGTGGTTAAACATTTGCAAACAAATATTTGCGCTTGCACTGTTCTCCTCTGTGTCGCTGAGTCAATATCACCGAATTGCGTTAGAGAAATAAATAAAGTGCAGAGAAGAAAAACAAAATGAAAAAGCAATTATATGAAAGAAGGAATAAGGAGGGAAAGGGAAGCTAAAGAATAGAAAAAAAATGTATACTATTAGAAATATAAATAAATTATAAAAAACGACGATTATAAGATTCATAAGCAGAAGAGAATCGAAAGGCTAGAATCTCTAAGTAAACAAAAAAAAAAAAAAAAAAACATAAGTAGAAAAAAAACATTCTAAAATTTACAAATTAAATCCAAAGGTAAAAACGAAAGCAAAGTCTGTTCTTTTCTTATTCTATGAAATGGTGTAATAACTAACATCAACACTGCAGTAAAAGGAGTCTTAAAACCTTGTGTTTGCCCTGTCTGGTACCCGAGCCACCGCCGTCAGCACGAACCGAAACACCTCAACAGTTTGCCAAATCAATTCACTCATTCGTGGAACCGAGAGAGAAAATGATAAGAAGGAAAAAGAAAATGCGTGAACTCACTCGTTGCCCTTCACGACTTGTTAACAAGATCGGTTACAGTGCAAAAGTTCTCTCTTAGGAACCGCAACATAGAAAACCGAAAGATTTTCCCTTCGCACACATCGCTAAACCAATACGAGAATATATCTGTGTGTGTGTGTGTGTGTGTGTGTGGTGTGTGTGTGTGTGTGTGTGTGTGTGTGTGTTGTGTGTGTGTGTGTGTGTGTGTGTGTGTGTGTGTGTGTGTGTGTGTGTGTGTGTGTGTGTGTGTGTGTGTAATATATATATTATGTATTTAAAAAAGAACTAAGCCGTGCGCGGAAAGTTACCCGAGAAACTACATCTGAGCGGACAGAATATGACCAAATAATTTTGCGCTGGGAACGCGTTCCTCACGATGACCAAATACTAGTCTGGCACAACACGTGCACACACACACACACACACACACACAAACAAACTCTCTCTCTCTCTCTCTCTCTCTCTCTCTCTCTCTCTCTCTCTCTCTCTCTCTCTCTCTCTCTCTCTCTCTCTCTCTCTCTCTCTCTCTCTCTCTCTCTCTCTCTAAAAGAGTAGAATATCAAGTGTGGAAAATCAGTGGAGGCGGCTTATCTAGTACGGCGACCCCACATAGAAATGGGAGAAAGCTGAGACACTTGAAGCCCTTTCCCTACACTTATTACAGACCACTAATCGTAACAAACTGCATACTCGTTATGGAATGAACATTTTCCACTCTTTACAGAAATATATCCCCTCCCTCACCAACCCCCCCCCTTACAAGAATGTATTCCCTCCCTCACTACAAACCGCACTTTCCCCTCGTTACAGACGGCAATTCGCTCTCGCTGGAGATCGAATTTCGCTGTCCTTACCTGAGGGTGGAGGCCGGGGGGGAGTGGATGGCCTCAGCGTGAACGGCCGACTTCTGGGTGACTGGGTGGACTAGGGTGGTTTCCTGCCGGTTGTGGCTGCGGAGAGAAAAAACACGAACATTAGTCTTACAGAAGAAAAGATGCCTTACAGTAACTTGAAATAAATGAAAATAAGATATGAAAGACGGAATATGTAATTATATAATAATATGATAACTAAGAGGGAATATGAAATGATATAGTGTTTATTTTAAAAGACGTGCAGAAAAAGAGATAGCAATGAGAAATAGTAGTACAAAAACTTAATTTTGAGGAGATGAAGAAGTAAGAAATTTGCTCTTCAAGAATGATTCACGTTGGACACGCTTGCGCGCAGGACCTATATGCGCTCACTCGCCTCCAAACACACGTCCGTTTACGTGTTTGCCAGTTTCATTTGCATACTATCAGACAGCTTAATGATTGCGTAGATCAAACGCGATTTAAATAACCCTCTGCTTCGCCCTGGGTCCTTCAGCAAAGAGCCTTCGACGCGGCGCCCTTAACACCGCTCTCTGGGTTGCGAGGACAGGCTTCTGGCGCGAAGTTTATGTCGCTCTAATGGGATTGGCGAGGGCGGTGTCCCCTATCCACACTCGAGAGGGAAATAGTATACAAAAAAGGATTTTTCCCATTTAGGGGGAAAAAAAGAGAAACGCGAAAGGGTTTTTGCCTTATTTTAGAAAACCGACCAGATATTACTTTCACTTGTGCATCGCTGAGATTCTCACAGCGGGAAGGTCAGTCTCGAGATATTCGCAGCTTTTTATTTCTTTCGCCAAGTGGCCTCTAGACCTCTCAGGGTCACGGGTAAGGCGCAAGGAACGGCTAACTCCCTCCCTTTTTCATAACCACATCCCTGGACTCCCTGCTACTGCGCCTCCTCTTCCGGACTTTGCAATCGCTAATCGAAATGTTAGGCTTTTCCTTCCGTTTGCCTTCGATAACAAACATTTATTTATCTTTCACCCTGCCATTAATGGTCCTTCTCTTCCTCCTCATTTTAATAATTACAAACACTGGATGATAAAAAAATGGACTCTCCCTCCCCCTACCCTGCTTTTAGACCCCCTCCCCCCAACACCAGCCCCCCCCCCATGTACCTTGCTTTTAATAAACAAAACGATGGACAAGACACGGCACTCCGGGAGATACGGTTTCTAAACAATGTAACGACAACGGAAGCTCAGCCGGAGGACGCGGGGAGGACTCTTAGGGGGAGGGTGTGTGTGCTCTTGGGCGGGGGGGGGGGGGGGACTCTGGGTTCGGGTCATGATATCTGACTACATGATTTTACAGATTTGCGAGGCCCTTCGTCACGGCGACGATGCAAAAACATCCTAGTGTATCCTATAGTTTACGTTCCACAGGGGCAGCGGCGGGAACGGGACGAGAGAGAGAGGGGAGAGAGGGGAGAGAGGGGGAGAGGAGGGAAAGGAAGAACGAGAAAGAGAAAAAAACAAAAACAAAGGAAAGAGCAAGTAATGAAATGAAATACCCGCCTACAATAAGAAAAAACAAAAAAAAACACTAAAGGCATCGATCTTTCACAAGGAACACAAGGTCATGGTTGTGTGTGAGAGTCAGTAAGTGGTAGGTGGTAAGCGGTAAGTGGTAAGTGGTAGGGGTTTTGCGAGAGCCGCTACTTCAGTGTGATTCAGGTCAAGTGAGATCAGCAGGTGTCTCGTGACTGAGAACCTGCAAAGGGAGCGGAAAACCGACTCATATTTGGCGCTGTTGCTGTTTTTTTTGTTTTTTTTCATGGTGATTTGATTTTATTGTTGTTGATATTGTTATTATTTATGATGAAGGTTAGGATGATGATGATAATGATGGTGATGAGAGTAATTACGGTTGCCATTATTTTTATTGTTATTATTGATATAATGATTGCGCTTTCTTTGTAATTTGCATTGTCGTTGAGTTATTTTATTAGTTTGCTAGACTTTAATCCTCTATTTTAAGCACTTGGCCTTACCGTCAGCATCATTATCATATCGAAACACATCAATACATTTGGCTCTTAGTGGTTTACCTCCCCCTCCCCCCCAAAAAAAAGCTCTTGGGATTTTGATTAGAAACATCCTAACTGTCACACCGGATTGGTCACTTGTCAGATGCCCCCGTTCTTGCCGGCGAGAGAGAGAGAGAAGAGAGAGAGAGAGAGAGAGAGAGAGAGAGAGAGAGAGAGAAGAGAGAGAGAGAGAGAGAGAGAGAGAGAGAGAGAGAATCAAAGACACAGACAGGCAAACAGAGACATACAGCAGCAGTAGAGAGGGAGGGAGCGTATACATCGCATTGTCACAAGGAGCAAACGACGCCTCCATTTCCCCAGCACCTCCCACACAGAGACAGGCCGTCCGTGAATGTCCTCGTACTTGGCAGAGGATACACAATGTATCCCTCGACCATGTATGTAACAGTGTATTCAAAGGTGTTACACTACGATGAGTTACATAGTATGTTGCTCCTTTCATAGCGAAAAAAGGGAAACGATAATGACAAACTTTTTTGCATACTACCCTCAGCTCACTTTAACACTCATTCTGTTCCTATTTCTTTCCCTCTATTGCTTACATTATTCTCCTTATCTCTTCCTCATCCATTATCTCTCCTCCTCCCTCACTTCCTACCCCTTCCTTCCTCCTTCCATTCCTTCTCTCCTTTATTCTTTCTTCTCTCCCCTCTCTCTCTCTTCTCTCTCTCTTCTTCCTCCCCTCTCTTTCCCTTCCCTCCTCCCTCTCCCTCCTTCCCCTCCCTCGCTTTCTCTCCGTCCTCTTTCCTTCCATCATTATCATCATTACGTTCCAATCTCACCTTTCAGGAAACGCCAAACAGACAAAGGTCGTGGATTGCGCCGTGCAACATGGAGCAACATTTTTTCTTCTTTTTTTAGAATCATCTACATAATAATCTTTACCTTCCCACGCTTGTTTCTCCCCCAAACCCCTTTCATTTTCTTCTCTCTCTCTCTCTCTCTCTCTCTCTCTCTCTCTCTCTCTCTCTCTCTCTCTCTCTCTCTCTCTCTCTCTCTCTCTCTCTCTCTCTCTCTCGTAACCGGAACACTAATACAGTCATCACTAATCTGCTGCTTGGCTTAATAACTTAATTATCCTAGAGATACTTCCTCTTATCAAATCCAGATTCCCAAGGCAGTAACCGGAATAATGATGTAAAAAAAAAAAAAAAGAGAGAGAAAAAAATGGCGGTTCTAAAAGGGATGTCTGGGGGGGGGGTGTAGGTGGATCTGAAATTTCCCTAAGGAGCGGTAGGAGTAGGAAGACCCCACCCCCTCCTCCCCAAGCCCCGACCCCTGTAAGTTGCTGAATCCTCTCCTTAACTCCTTTAATTGAAATTTGAGGTCCCCCTTTCACCCTAGCCCCTTCCCCCTTAAAACAAGACTTTGGTAAATATAAAGAAAAAAGAAATTTCTTTTTCTCTCATTTTTTCTTCCTTTCCCTTTTCTCTTTCCGATTCGTACAATAACGCATAACACTGGCCTAGCGCAACCACACAACCACTTACAACAACACCCACAAATAACAACCCAAAATGGAAGAACACCCCAAAATTAATAACCCAAAACACCTGATAATATAACGAAAGCCACCCCAAAATAACCAAAAGCGCGCGAAACGACCACCAAAAGCGAAAGCCCAGGTAAAAACAACCTACACCGAAAATACAACCAAACCCTCCAAAAATAACAACCAAAAGTGTGCGAAATGGCCACCAGGGGCGAAATCCCCGCCAGCCTGCAACAGGGACGAAATTCAGTCACCTCGGCGCCATGGCCTCCTCACCTTCTCACCTCCTCCTTTTTGTATGCTTCTGCCAATTCTCCTTCTCCTTTTCATTTTTTCTTTTGTTTTTTCTCCCTCTATCCCCCCCCCTCTCTCTCTCTCTCTTCCCACCTCCCCCTCCCGCTCTTCCTCTCCCACCGCCTCCCCCTCCCGCTCTTCCTCTCCCACCCCTTCCCCCCTCCCGCTCTTCCTCCCCCATCCCTTCCCCCTCCTGCTCTTCCTCCCCCACTCCACCTCCTCCTCCTCATTCTATGCACCCGAGACGCCAGAGGTCCCAGTTACGACACCGCTGAGGCAACCCAACGTCCGCCTTTTGTTACGTAATGTCATTTCTCTGTCTGTCTGTCTGTGTCTGCCTGTCTGTCTGTCTTTCTCTCACCTCCGCCTATATCATCACAGTCTACGCGCCCCTTGAAAACCTCTTCTAAGAAACGTGGTTCTGCAATCGTCTCCGTCGCCCTCGCCGTACGTGGCATGATAGAGAAAATGAGAGCATGAGGGAGGAAGAAGGAGCAAGCGAGAACAAGAGAGAGCAACCAGTGGTTCAGCGCGCCTGGTTCTCTCCGCCTGATTGGTTCACCTGACGTGACGAAGAGGTGCCGCCCCCGTGTCCCGAACCGAACGTTTGCGTCTTCGTCTTCCGTCTGTCTGTCTGTCTGTCACGCCTTTTGGAAACGCGGTAGCATTCGGACGAATGGAAATATTGATAGCGCTGAGCAATGGCAAAGCGTGGTTTTGTTTTGTATGAGTTAATATGCTGGGAAACATCTGCGGATATTGCGAGGCTGATGCGAATCACAAGCTGTGAGAAGAGGCGGGATGATTTGCATGCAGGAATACTCGAGGTCGTTCAGCCCGAGGCGACGTCCCGACTGTCACGCCGTTGCCGGAACGCCGCCCGGAGGCTGAGCGAAGGCGAGGTGAAGGCAGGGCATGGCGCCCCCAACTACTGAATTGCTATGATTGCACCGCTATTAACCTAAAGCCCAAGGATGTACATCGCACATAAAATATAGCAACAATATCTGAAACCCGAAGAGGGGATGTTCCCATCATTGCTCATCCCACTTTTAACCCAAGCTGCATTGTTATTGCCAAGCTTCGCAAGGGTCACCTGTCTGGGTCAAGGATGGCAGCGAGCAGCGAGCTCTGGTGGACGCCCTCGCCCGCCAGGTGGACGAGCGTGCCGGCGACGGGCGACGAGATGGACAGCAGACTGCGGGTGCCCATGCGGATGTTCTGGCGGCGGCTCTC